CCCCAAAACCCCAAAACCCCAAAACCCCAAAACCCCAAAACCCCAAAACCCCGGTATTCCTAAATTGGTTGAATTTTAAGCGGAGTGTTCTTGGATTAGTTATTTTTGGGAATAGAATTTGCTCAGGCCGCTTCTGTTGAGATTGGTGAAGGTAGGGCAGGTGTATTGGGAGGTGTAGCTGAAGCCGGGTTTGGAGCAGTAGGTGGATTTGGGAGTGGGGTGGGTGGTGCCTGGGGGAGGAAGAGTGAAGCTGTAGGGGAGTTGGAGGCTAGGTTGTTTTAGAGTGGGATGTTTGGCGAGATTGGTCTAAAGGGTAGTAATGATGGGTTACTGATAGAGAAGAGTATAATCTTTCTTTTTCCTGAGAGATTTTTCTGGATTTTCTCCATTGTGAAGATTGCTAGATGTTACATATGAATTTACTTTATGGGGTTTTGAGGTTTGTAGCAGGGTATCTGATTGCAAAGGCTCTATCGAAGCTCTTTGAGATTTTCTTGCTCTTCTTTTTGTATTCTAAAAATTATTATTTAGAGGTCCATGAAAGATTATTTGAAAATAAAAATACCTTTACTGAATCACTCTTTTCGATGATTTTTGAATTAGTATTTACTGCAGAGAATTTAGAAGGGTTATATTGTCTTTCGGAATTTCTTCTTTTTGATGAATTGCCCTTATTTCTTGCTTCAAAATTCTTGTTTGAATTAAAATACTGTTGTTGATTGCTTGTATTTAGATTGATACTATATTTGGATTATTGGCATAAAAATTGCAATTTGATCTAAAATTATTTAAAAGGGGGATAAACTTCATGAATATTTTTAATAAATCAAATAAACTCACTCCAAAATTTACTAATAGACTAATCTAAAGAAAGCCTTTTCTCTGTCTAAAAAAATTTTGTTAGCAAAAATTAATATCTTTAGTTTTAGATGGACTCTGATGAAAACTTAATATAAAAGACAGAAATTGTTTAGAAAATAATTATGTTCTTTGTAACAATAGAGACAATTTATCATGAAAATGCCGTTATATGAGGGTTAGTAAAACCTCTTAAGAAGACTACTCCATAACCTGCAGATAAAAAGCACAAGATATTGACAAAACAATCTGTAAAGTCAAAGTGATTAGTTAGCTACCTTTGCCTTCTCTGTTTCTTTGCTTTTTGAGGAACTTCTATATTAATTCTATATTGCTCTGAAATTTTTTCTTTAGGTATTCCAGAATTCTTTTGCATTCTTGACTGGGAACCAGATTTTCTTCTATCATTCCGCTCTCTCTTTTCATTCCTTTTTCCTTGATTAAGAGGAAAAGCCTGTATCATCTTTTGAGTATTATGATGTGGATGGGGAGGAGCTTCAAAGGTTGGATATTCTTTCGTGTCTCTCATTACAGTAGTCTCTACTTTGTCTAGTCTGAATAAAGCTGTGTCAAGCTTTTGAAATACATGATCAAATTTAGAACCAATGTTATTTAGTAAATAGTCTATCTTTTCGTCTGAAATGAAGCCTCCTGATTTCTTGGTATTATTACGAATGGGCTTTGAAGGCTTTGAAGGCTTAGAATGAACTTCTTGTCATTTATATTTCAGGATTGGATTCCTTACAAATTTTTGAAGGGAGGGAATAGATGTAAGATGATAAGGCCTCTTCTCTTCTTCAGATTTATTTAATTCTTCAGAAATTCTAAAATAAAGCTATGAGCTTACCTTTCTCAGTGATATTCTGAGAAATATGTATTAAGGGTTGGCAATATTGACGTAGTCTCTGATATCAGCTTAGCTATCCTTTTAGAAATTGCAGTATCAGTGTTGTTTTCGTCAGAATCAAAACTATTTTCTTCGTCTGAATAATCAGAGTCGTTATCATATTTTAGGAGTTGCATAATCAATATTTTAATTAGCATGCATCAGACTTTTCCTTCTAAACACTGAATGTTCTTAAATTTCTGCATTGCTTTATCACAATGCTTTAATGCTTTCGGAGTTGAACCATCAGTGCCCGTTTCCAAGCATGTCAGAGCAAGGATTTTATAAATATTGGCTCTTGTTAGCTCATTATCTTGTAGTAATTTTCTTCCATAAATATTGCAAACATCAAAAGAATCATTGATCCGTTCTGATCTCAGAAGAAGAGTAGCAAAAAGAATAACAAATTTATCATGAATTTTGAGTTCTTTCGCCTCTCTAGATATTCTTTTATTGCTAAGAGTACTCTTTGCTTTTTCATTATGAGTACTAATTCTTCCAAGTGTGTCTTTATTGCTTATTAGAGATGCATTTCTATCATATTTCTTCAAAAATTGTTCTTTCTCCTCCATTGATTTTAGATCAGAGTCAGTTTCCATACTTCTATCATCTCTACTGACCTCAGAATGCTGTTCTTCATTCAAGGTGTCTAAGGGTGTTTTCTTTAATGCTTTTTGTTTCATTTTGGTATTATCACAATTATCAGTGTTCTCTGACTTCATTACACTCTTTGCTTGATCCAAATATTTAGCATCAGTTCTCTTTCCTGTTTCTATATATCTTTTGCTTGCTCTATTGAAATTTTCATGATTTACAGGACTCATAGCCATATGATTATCTTCCTCTTTATTATCCTGCCGACTATTACACGTTCTTTCTCCAAAGCTTGAGAAATCTTCCTCTCCTTCTGCTTCTTCACTACCCCCTTCAAGTTGGTCAGAGGAGCTATACTCAAAGCTTTGGAGCTCCTTTTCTTCCTCAATTTTATTATTCTGATCCAAACCTTGGAATGATGCCTCAATTCTTTTATTTTTAGGATCTTGTGGGTATAATGGGGGTCCACTTGATTGCTTATTAGGAAATATCAGCTTTGGTATATTATCTCCTGTAGATTTCCATTTTGAAAGATTTGCAGGTTTGGGCGTCGAATCCTATGCTTATTTATTAAATTTACTCCTAAATGATCTTTTTCTTCTTCTATCTTTTCCATATTCAAACCTATTGGTCAGATTACTAGCAGTACCTATTATTTTATTAACCATGAACTTGGTTATTTTCTGAGATTGCTGCATCCTACTTCGAGGGCTATTGATTATCCCTGAGCAGAACAATGATCCTCCTATTCCTCTTTGAGAAGAATTATTCTTATCCATACCTAAATTTTTAATTTTAACAAATCATTAATTTTAGTTGACTACCAATTTTTGAATCTTGAGGTTCAGTATCAGTATTTTCGTATTTCCCTGTGAAGCAAAGTTCTTCAAGAGTTGGTTCTTCCATCATCTTGAACTTTTTCATTGCAAACAATTTTGTAATACTTATGTCAGCCTTTGGCTTATTTTCTTTTCTCTCCGGCCTAAAATTTTTAAATTATCTCACAAATGCTGGCTGTTTAACTCAAAATAAAGTTCAATTATTTTGGTTATAAAAAAATGAGAGCCAGTTAATTATGCGATAAGCATTCTGATAAAATAGTAATTAGTGGGGCAAGATATAGTATTAAAGCCTTACAAAGGTGTTCAATCTCGAAATTTGTCTGCAGAACTGTTTTTCATTAATTTTCTTTTGATCTTTAGTGATAGAGTGGTTTAACAATTGAATACCACCTTTCTTGGCAACTTCCTTTCTTAGTCTTTCTAAGATTTCCCAAAGGTTTTCCTCATAAATTTCTAGCAAGCCAATTTCTCTGTTTGCTATGTTGATAAAGAGGACATTCTTACATGCATGTAGCAATTCTTCCATTTTTGAGTTCATAAATTTTACAATATTTTCATCATATTTCTTCGAAGATTTTGGGGTTAGTGTTGCTGCAACATATTCTCTAAATTTTGGCTCCATTTTATAGACAATTTCTAGTACATCGTTGTCAACTCTGCTTTTTCTAAAGAATTATAGATAATCCTACCTGATGCTTTTGGATTTTCTTTTACTCCTTGATCTGCTAAGATCCTTCTTCATTGTGTATTCTTCCTCATAAATCTCTTTTTCAGTAATCATAGATTTCTTTTTTAAAATATTTATCCACTTTTCGTTCCATTTTGGTGAGATCTGTATTAAGTCTGTATTTCCAAGGCCATCAGGACATAATGAAAGATGGTTCAAGCATTCCAGAATGGCTGTGCTTTTATCTGAAATGTATTTCAAGGAGATATTCCAAGCCATAACTAAGTTAATATCCTTCTTGTTCATAGCAGATTTCTCAACCTGTCTATAAATTTCAGAAATCGAAGTATCTAAAATAATGAGACTGATTTCTTACCATCAGCATTTGAAGAAACTAGCAGAGCTCACAAAGGATTTCCCTTCAAAAGCTTAATGAGTTTATGCTCAAGGAAATTCTTGCATTTATTTTTCTCATCTACATGAGATGTAGTTTTACAAAGTTCTCTTCACTCTCTTTCAAATGTCAAGCGATCCTTCTTTACGGGTTGGATTAGACAATATATTCAATAATCAGGCAGTTTGCCAATTGATATTTCCTTGGAATACAACAACTCCAATCTTCCGTCTCTACTAAGAGACATTTTCTCTTTTATCTTTGAGGTAAGAATTATCTTGGAATTCTGAACTTTATTTCGAAAAATCATCTATTATTTTTAAACCAACACTAGCCATCAAGGAAGCTCAATCATCTAAGATGACTAAAACTTCGAAGTTTGATATACTAGAGAGACAGGCATGGTATATAGTCTCAGGACTTGCATTCGTGTAAGAGTTCAGATCATTTATCATTTTTAAATCTTTGAGTGAGTGCTTCATGGTCTTAAATAAAGTATCAATATAGCTCTCAATGTTATCTACTTCCTTTAAAGCTAAGTATAAAACTCCATCTCTTCAATAATTCCTATCATAGAAAAGATGGGCAATTTCTTTAGCTATAGCTGATTTTCCTATTCCATGATCCCCAGTGAACCAGACACATCTTTGGTTATTCTCAAATTCTTTCATGACCCTCACAATAATTTGTTCTCTTCCAATTAATGTTCTTTCTCTAAAAAGTATGATTAAATAAAATTATGATTTAGAGTAACATGAGAACACAAATATTGTCAAGAAGCCTTTTAATGGGTAATATAAGGATAGTTCTTGAAATCTGAAATAACTAGAGAATAAATAATTTTTTTAAGAAATCTATTCAGATTTCATTTATAATTATATGCTTTCGCAAAAGAATAAACTATCCAATATTAGAACTAATTCTAAGGATGATTGCTTACCGATTTGGTAAAGCTTCAATTTTTGGCTTCACACTTAGATTATGAGAATCTCCAAGATCTAATTGGAAGACAGTTCTGCATTGATTCACTTTGTTTCTATGGTCAGACAATCAGAGGAATTTGTTTGCTTCTGTCGCTTTCATTTTATGCTTTACTGCAGCTTTAGCTTGTTCAAAAGCTTCTCATACTGATCATTTATTTTCCTATCAGTAAGGAATTGTAAAATGTTTTGACAAATTCTAATCAAGCGTGGTCATCAACTTCTCATTCTCTTCGGATACAAATGACATGGCCAATACCAGCGTTCTCAAAGACTTCTCCAACCTTTTGAGATTCTCATGAGAGGACAACGGCTACCTTAATCATGTCGTCCTTCTCTTTGTTTTGGGCAAAGAGCTCTTTAATCATTTTGCCTGTGAGATTATCGTTTTCAAAATTTTCTTTTTCAAGAACTAGGAAGTCGTTCTCTCCTTCTCCAGCTCCTCTCTTCCCATGGCCTGAGAAATGAAGAATCTTGGGTTTTACTACCAGGACATTTGCTAAATTCTGCATTGTAGCCCATACTTTCTTATATGCTACTTTTGTCTGCAGATCCTATTGCTTATTGTCAAAACCAGGCTGAGCTTCTCAAAACGAAAGATATTGAACTATGAAATTTAAGTAGAAGAATTGATATGACTCTATTAGCAACACATTACACAAATAAGGTTAATCTGATATAAACGACAGACAATTCTTATCTAACCAAAGAATCTGCTAATTCATCTTTAAATTTTTAAAAATGGATGGTTATTTGTTGGCTTTACCGAAGAAAAAGCAACACAATAAAGTTAAAAATGAGAGAATAAACTCTTTACTAAGGATTTTGGTCGATACACTGCTGAATGAAGAATTAGGCTCTGAAAATTATTTCTGGTTATATATTTACCAAATACTCATTTTTAAATTTAAAATTTATTTCTAGAAATAAGAAGAAATAAGAAGCAAAAGCTTCAACTATTAGGCTAAAATTAAAATCTTATTAAAAAGTTCTTGTTCACTACAACTCAGCTATTTTTTGCTGACTGATGTTTCTCTTTGTACTTACAGTGAAGATATTATCTATATGAAAAATCAGAACTGAAACTAGTGTTGAAAGGAACCCTAATTAGGTGTATTGGATTTCAAATAAAATTTAGACTTTTAATATCCTTTGAAAACTACATTAAAATAAGGTAAGCTTTATGAAATAAAATTTCTAAAAGTTATTAGTCATGCTTATTAGTCAGGAGTTCTTGAGAAATTACTTACCAATTCTTCTGAATTCTTCTCGATAATTTAATACTTGAAGCTGCTCTTCTTTTAGAGTTATTGGGTCTCTGAAAATTAGAGGACTTGCAAAGGCAAAGACTAAATCTAGTTCTCTTAAATTGAGAGAATTAAAATCTTTTCTTTCTAGTGAAAGTGATCTGTTATCTAAAGCCTCGCCGTCTAGAGATTTTCTTAGACCACCTGGACCTGAAAATGCTTTCCGTTTCATCTTCGCGGACATTTTCATGTTTTGTGCTATTGTTTTCTTGTTCTTAATAATGTCAAGGGGAACAGATGAACTTCCCTCGATTTGTAATTTCATAGGAGCAACACTATCATTAAAAGGATCATATAAATATCCATCTTTAAACTCTAGGGTATCGCTTCCTTCTATATTAAAGGTAATCTACCACTTTTATTGTATGAATAAAAACTACCTTACAAATCTCTCAAACTTAACTCCAAAAACCTCAACCAATTTCCAAATTACTTACTCAAACTCTCCAATATCTCTTCTAACCCAGCTCCTTTCATACTGACCTCTACTGCTTTCTTCTTGCTATACCTCCATTAACCCCACTCCATCCCCTATCCTTCCCACCAACTGGTCTCTCCAGCCCCATCTCCTTTATCCCCTCTAACCTTAGTAAAAGCCACTTGGGCTGGCAGAGGCAAGACCTTACTCTTCTTTGGATAACAACATTTGGATCGTTGATGTGCAGGCTTAGTTTATTTATATAAATTATTTCAAGAATTTATCGAAGAAAGGGGTTTTGGGGTTTTGGGGTTTTGGGGTTTTGGGG